CTACAGATCATTTAAATTCTCTGGAAGCTAATTTTTGCACATGAAAACATGAGGTTGGGTTACATGATCTCTAGGCTCCTTTTAGCTCCAACAGCCTATAAGTCTATTAAATTATTTGCATCTAATGGAGAGTTCACCTGAAAACAATGATAACACACAGCTTGCTCTGGCAATAGGTTTTTCTTTCAAGAACCTTGATTTTTAAGCAAAAGCTACTACTATGTTTTCAGGACCCTTTCATACTCAAAATATGTCACAGACTTAGGAGCACTGAATCCTGGTCTAATATAAATACAGTTCACAGGGGAGATGAAATGCATTGTCCTTCAGAAGGCAGACAGAAATTGTGCCAGGGCAAATTCCTCCATATGCACTGAGCCTGAGGCTTTGACTTAGGAAGCCAACCAAATACTGGAGATGTCAATGGTATTTTAGAAACGAGACAACGGGGTCCACTAGCCTTAAGTTGGAGAGCTGTCATATTAGGATCTAGCCTCATTTACTGGGTCCTTACCCCGTATTCCTCACTGCGGCCAGGTTCCTTTCTGATCTCTCCAAAGAGATCAGCAGGAAGCATGTAGGTCTGAGGTGGGGTAGTCTCATTTACAAGACGTCCTTATTGTGAGCTGAGCTACCTGTTTGCGTGGCTACTGCCCCACTGCCTGCTTACTGCCTGAACTTCTGCTATGGTCTGGGGGACCCCCGACGGACTCATCATCTAACTTCAGGTCCCACACTGACCTCCGTCCCTTGGGCATCTCCTGGGGTTGGTCCTTGCTTCTGGTCCCAGTTTGCCCTTGGTTGACAGGCTCCAGGTTCCTGGCTTCCTGCTCTGTTTTCAGAATCCCTCACCTCCCATGGTACTTCACAGGATGAAAGGCATCACAATCCAGGGGAGGCTTACGACTGGCTGGAGGGAGCCTGCATTTTCTAATGGCCTTTATTAGCTGGCAGGCTACATTCTGCCAGCCAGCGCAGAGACAGCTGTTTTTCACTTCACTGACTTTGGAGAAACTGTGAAACTGTTTCTATTCCCTCCCAGTTCTTTCTGCCACCTTGGCTTCCCCAGGGCTGTCAGGAGCGTGAACCTCAAAGAAAGGGTACGTAGCAGTGGGAGGCCAGGCGGCAGCAGACCAATCAGAAATTCAAGTGTTCTTCCCAAGTGAACGTTAAAGGTGGACAGCAAAATTTAAGAGGCGAAGGCACAAATACTGGAGGTCTCAAAAGGAGACGTGCTGCTTGTACCACATGAGCCATGTCTCTTCATCTGAGTGCGCCTATGAACAGGCACGCTTATGCACACCACCTTTTGCTCTCTATACATGAAGGCAGAATCAGACCTAGAATAACAGAGCTAGATGGCCCTCATGAATCACCTGGTTCAAACCTTCAATTTATCAAAGCAACTGAAGTTCAAGTCACCATAATTAGATTAGGATGGCAGCAATAGCATTTCCTATAAACCCCACCCTCCCAGTGAACACAGAATGTGCCATAAGGGTCCAGCCAGCTTCTGCACTTTTCTGTCAATAGCAGCAGGGCTGGGAAAAAGCTGAAACGCTTAGACTAGCGACTCCCAATGTAGTCCAATTCTGCAAGTAAATAGCAGAGAAGTGGTATGTCCCAGGGAATGGTCCCAGAGGTAATGCAGGTCTGACAGCAAACGCTTTCGACACCCTTCCCCTTTTTTAAAAAACAGAAGTTGGGTACACTTTGGTCTACCCGTGAGCAAATACGATTGGCTTCTCGTTCCCACTCCTTTCCATTTCTCCTGTAAGGTAGGTGTAGTAAGATAGAATGGGAACCTGGCATCAAAGGTAAGAAGAGGTAATCCAATCTTGCCGAGCTTGAGAAAGTTACGAGGCTAAGCAGATATGAGAAATAAAAGACACAGAAGTATGTATCAATCGATGTGCTCCTTCATTTGTAAATGCTGTATCTCATATAGCCAGCCAGCCGGTAGCTTTTAAGTCTTAGAAGTAATAATTAGAGCTATTTAATATCTCTTTACACTCAGGAAGAGCACATAACTTAATACACAAGAACTAATAGTCTAAATGTCTCATGTCAACCCATGAGAAATTGTTGAAGAACAGCTAAAGAAACACTGATGTGAATAAGTGGATAAATAAGCAGAGAGGAACAGTAAGGCTAAGGAATATCTGGAAATTTTCCCATCAGTAAAACCTATTAGTCTCTAGAACAATGCCCCAGGGAACCCGTGAAAGGCCAATCTTATGAGTTATTTAAAAGTGGAGTGGACTTAGCCATTGGAATTATTCCATGGGGGAACCCCTTGCACTGTGTGAGATATGGGCAACACAGCCTAATGGCTTGTTGTCATGTGCAGTATTTTCCATGTTTAGCATGTCCAGCTTGTTGTCTGGATTTAACAGGAAATATAACAAGGGAATATAAGAAGTTGGCCCATGAGGAACTGCTAAATCAGGCAGTAGGGACCATGTATCTTGCTGGAGTCTCTTCAAACAATAGGGGCACAGCTGGGGTCACGAGATTAGACTAAATTCACAAGGAGCAAAAGGACAACCTGGTATTGGAGGGAAAGTAACTGCTCATGAAACGCTGACAGAAGCTCCTTCTGGCCACTGTGGCGTGATCTTAAAATGGGCCAGTGCCAAGTTGCCCCTTTCATCACAGGCTTCATCAACCCACTCCCCACGTGTGACCTTCAGACTCTGTCCCCCGCTCGTTAGATCTTCCATGTTCTGTGTCCTCCCTTTATTGCTTCTGCTCTCCCTTTCCCTCACTGACTTATTTCTGTATTAGTGGATGATGGATGGATGCCCCTTCACAAACTTACCCACTCAAAAACCAAACACCACTTACGTATTTTGAAATTTTTTGTTTTTATGGCAAGGTACATCTTGGTCTAGCTGTGATTTACTATTGTGACTTCCCTGAGTTTCAATGCTCTCAACTGGAAAATGGTGAAAATAAAACCATCTCTATTTACATCTCAGGTTGTCATAAGAAAACAAGTAAAAGAATGGATGTGAAATGGCCGTGCACTCCTAACTACTGCAGAAATGTCAGGCAGTGCAGCTTCTTGGTTCTTGTCCATTTCAATGTTGCCCATCTTAGGAAAAAAGGTTTGACGGCTTCTATCTTTTTAATACTAACTTGTATTATACACCTCCTAATAACTGAATACAAGAGCCATGAAAACAATAGATACTCCAAACATACTAGCTGAAAATAACAGACTGGAGATTGAGGGGGAAAAAAGAGGGTCTCTTTTGAAATCATTAATAATAATTTGATGCTTTTGGCTGACCTGTTTAGTAAATTTCCGCACAATAATGCAACTGAGGAAAGAAGGGGAAAAATAAGATTTACTGAATACTTTATATAAAGGTAATCCTTACAACATTACCCCAATTTACAGATGAGAAAACTCAAGCCCCGAGGTCACAGAGCTAGTAAAAGGACAGGGTACAAACTCAGGTCTGCCAGATTCAAACGCGCTATCACGCCATGTGGCGTATTTGATTTTGTCATAACTTAACTTTGCTATATTCTATAAATATATACCATTGATGTCACAGGACTATGTGTAGATAATTCAACACAACCCAGACAGGCAGGATGGGGTCAGCACTCCCAATGCCCCTGCGGCTGCCACTGTGGTAATGTTACAAATCACATGGTACAAACAGGCACGTATGTTAGAGACCAGCATTGAAACATACACTTTGTCACAGTCACTCTTTTCCACTGGCCACCACCTCAATAAGGCACTATTATCAAGTTAGAAAAATCCATGAATCAACCTACAAGTCCCAAGTCCTTCAGTTTGTATTCATATTGAAGGCTGGGGTTTATTAAGAGCATATCAGAAGCTGTTTTCGACAAATAAAATGTACTAACTTAACATCAGCAACATTACCTCTACCAAAGACCTTTAAAGAAAAGGATTCCTGGCACGCTACGAAGAGTTATGCTACAAGCAAGAAACAGAAAAAAGTTGCCAGCCACTAGGCTTTTAAGGACAACATAGGCTTTTAATAAATATTGATTATATTTTTTTCCACCAATGTTACTGTTATTTTCCAGCTATCCAGACAATACTAACCCTCCCATCGGATATTTGTAGAGTATAAAAATTTTACCCCAAGTGATATTATTATAACTACAGCAAATTAGGCTGCAGAAAGGCATGCTGTGTAACTCAAACACTAGATTTAGTTGGGTTAGAAGGTCAAATCTATGGAATTTGTCAGCAGAAGGAATCAAGGTTTCCAACAATTTCCGCCTCTCAGAACAACCTATATCCAACGGTTAAATTGGTTAAATGATAGGCAATTATGTGACCTGCCAGAATGGATAATTTGCTTCAGGGTTTATCATTAGCTTTCTAAAGTACATAAATTAGAGAAAATGCACGTCCTGTGAACATCGTATTATTCTGATATGAAGGGTCAAGAGAAGAATATGGCTATGGTCTATAAAAGCAGTGGAATTCTTTTTTAAATGCTATCTCTGGTTTCCCTTTCCCTGTCCAATTAAGTGGACTCTGTCAAACTAGTGGAAGGGTTGGACAGTGACTGAACGGTGGGGTTTTTTTTTTTAACCTGGCCCTCTGCCTGACTACCTGCTGCTTATGGGCCCAAAGGTGCCAGCTCTTAATCTGTATCCTCTTCACTGGCTCTAAATATTGGCCTCAAAGTATGAGGAATGACCTTGAGAACATTATTATTAGAAGACAAAAGCTCAGGGCAAGTGGAGAAAAGTATAATCTTAGTAGAATCCTTTTTTCTGCAAGTAAATGAGTTGAACGCAAGGAAGATATGGGCTCTTTGACAATGATCCGACAGAAGTTATGCCCTAATCAACTCATTACAGTAATTCTTGATGATGATGATGACTAGGGCCTAGAAAGCCTTTTCACACACAGCGGCCCACTTAGTCCTTACCACTGCCCCAGGTCATCCAGTTTTCGATTTGCCCAGTGCCCCCACTGGCCTGGCTGGCACACCTACCTGTTTGGCATGATTGACACAGTGCATATACTGGGTGGCCAGAGAGGAGCATTTGAGGGTCTGGTGGGTGTTCTCACGGTAACACTGAAGAATTTTGGCCTGCAGATCAGCACAGACTGGATGAGACTCATACCGCCTGAAAACAAACACAGGGACCGCTGAGACCAATGGTCTTCATTCAGAATAACAATCAAGGTTAAAGAATACACAAAACGTACAGTAAGACACAGATGTTGCAAATGTAGAAAAAAGTTTAAGAGAAAGAATTTTCCTTAAACTTTAAAGATAGCTAAATTTCTCCCATGATAAAAATGACAAAGGGTAAATAAATTCTAAGAAATGAGTTCCATTAACTGACACTGCTGTGAGTTAGTCTGGACAATATAACCGTCCCTTCCAAACCAAAACCGTATCAACATGCCAGAAACTTGGAAGCCCTAAGTTCTCTCTTCCATTCCCATATCCACTTGGCCACAAAGCTGGGGATCCCCGCAGCCTGGTCCTCTTGCTCCACATCACTGTCGTTCCATTGCTTCCAAGTGAGACGCATCCTGGACCCAAGAAATGACCTCCCAGCTGGTCTCTCAGCTTTGATACCCTCTTCACCTGCCCCTACACACCTTCCAGAGGGTTCTTTCCAATAGGAAATCGAAGACGGTCTCTTTCCCCAGCACTTTCTACACAAAATACAAGGCCAGCTGGCTAGTCCTTCCTGAGCAGGTTCCTGCCTACCCTGTTGCCTTCACCCCCACACCCTGCACACAGCTGAAGCCTAGACAAACCCAGTTCAGGGTTTGGTTCTTACACTTCTCTTCAGGTCTAAGCTCATGCTGCTCTTGCTTCTGGAAATGTTCTACACCCAAACTCCCACCTATGCCTATATATCTGGAGAAAACCTACTCATCCTTTGATACTTCACTCAAGTGTCAGCTTCATTAGCTCTCCACCCCCCAACCCCGGTACAGTCTATCATTCCCTTTATGGTGACCCCATTGGTTCTGTATTCACTTTTCTTGCCATGCACGTGACAGTGACTACACCATACAACCTAATACAATTTAGCAACCTACATTTACTAGAATGCAAATTCCAAGGGCTGTGACTTATTTTGTCACCTCAGCTATTAGACATGGGAACCCCTACAGAAGTCATGTAATACATTTACTCAGTGAATACAAATGGGTACAAAGAAAACATTTTAAAGTCCCTTGGGTTAAAATTTTGCTACTTATACTTACAAATCTCAGATTTTAGTCAGATTGCTTCTGTGAATATCTGAGACCAAATGTAAATGTTTCCAAAAAGCTTATAATATACGCTTGAAAAATGATAATAAACCAAATGAGTTATACAAATGAAGGTAAAATATTCTTATTAACACGGCAGGGAAGTTTGGATTGTAAGGACTAAATACATACAGAGAAAAAAAAACACAGTACTACTACTTTTAATCTAGAAATTCATGTTTTTTCAAATTAGTTTTAATACAAGCTTCCAGTCTTATCACTTCTATTTTTGAAATTTAAATTTGTTATTTCCATAGTAATCTTGAAATCACATTATTTTAAACTTAATGGGTTCTAAAAAAAAAAACCCCTAGAGAACACAGGGGGAATATTTCTCATCAATAAAGAAACCCCTGGGCGACGATTTGTCTCCTCAGTCCTTTTATCCAGTACACTAAGCTAATATCTATTTTGCTAGAATAGAAACGCAAAGCATGTTGGCAGTTCCCTGACTTCCTACTACCCTCTAAAGAACACAGACATACAGAGAAAAAAAAAAAGTTTCAGCAATTTTTCTATAACATCCCTTTTACTTTTTCATTCATTACCTTACTGCTTTGTCAAATACCTAAGAACAGAATTTAAATAGAATCCCCGGAGTTTCCATGCTTTAAGATTTCAAACTTCAGATGTCTATGAATTTTTCTGGACACAGATTTCCCTAATCCTTTACCATGAACATCAGGATTTAAAAGGAATCAGTCGTGCTTCAAAGAGTATAGGCACAGATACCACTAAGTGACTAATTATAGCAAGACCTGCATCTAGATAAATATTGAATAAAATATGATTAAGCATCAGATCAGCTGAACCTAGCAAATACATGACTAATGACTAATAGCTCACAGGAAAGCGGGGTTACATTGTATCCTAGTGTTGACAACTGATCCTGTCTCCAATGTGTCTCAGATTTAAAAGCAGGGGGAAGGAGGTGAGGAGGGAAGGCTAGAACAACCCTGACCAGATATGCAGCCCTTCCTCATTAACATACAGGAAAAGACTGTAAAAATGAGCAGCCACACTGCACATCATAAAGAAGACAGCGTATTTTTTCCTTTAAAAAGACTACTCACAATGGGATAATTCACCTAATGTTATGGACTCCTCAGAAAGAGGTAGTTTAAGTTGTAGATAAGCATGTATCCTGAGTTGAGCTATTAGTCATGCAAGTTAAAGTCCATGAGTTATTTATGATTTGAAATGTGTCAAAATATACTTTTATCACCACAAATCAATACTACTCACTTCTAGGGCTCTTGATTTCCCGTCTGGTGGTCTGTTCTGTGTGTGTGTGTGTGTGTGTGTGTGTGTGTGTGTGTGTGTGTGTGTGTGTGTGTGTGTGTGTGTGTGTGTAGTCATCCTCTGATATTCTTTTTGTACACATTTCAATCTGTATTAATGATTCGATGGTAGAAAGAGGGGAAGAGGATGCATAATTGTCCTCCAGCTCCTGGAGTAGACTCTGGGACACTTTCTTGGATTAATCTGTAAGGGTAAAGGTTTGCCTCTGTATTGATCTGTAAAGCTTGTTATACTGCCCTAATGCACTGTTTTCACTTTGGGAAAATGCTAAATGAGATTGCTGTCTAACATTAGAAGGCCATAAAACACAAGCCATGGCACCTTCCATTCAGGATAAAGGTTTCAAAAACATTTCCAATATGCATTATGGTAAACCCTCCATATAATCATAGAGTCAGCAATTGACTTTTATTGACTGCTTTCATTCCTGCTGATGGAAAAAGCCCCTATTAGGCAAAAATAATGAAAGGCAGACTTTCAAGATACCTAGGAAGGAAAATTCAATCTTAGCAGCAAAGGATGATTAGACAAGTTAATTTCTTTGTACGTAAGGAAGAGGCAAATAAATGGTGAATAACAATGTTAAGGATAAAATACAGATATGGAAAACTTAAAACACTAATAAAGAAGTGGGAAGATCTGATAGTTACTCAAAAACATGTTTAGCAAGAAAAAATCGGTGGAACAGAGTCAACCTTCGAAAATATACATTTAACAAAAACAAGAAAAAAAATTCAGTTTTGTGGTCACTTGAAATTACTGGGAACCTTTCATGGATCCTACCATATGTACACACGTCTCTTTTCTTTTCTTTCTTGTACTCTTTTACTCTGCTCTTCCCTTCCTCTCCCCTCATCTCCACAAGCAATAGCAGCCCGCCCTCCCTTTGGCCCTCCCTACCCCATACAGTGGCACCAAAGGCCCAAGGGGTTGCTGACAGTACCAAAGGTAGAACTGGAGTCCCAAAGATTTGACCCCGGAACAAAATCAGAAGAAGCACTTTTGGTAGGTATTCTGTAGCCTGTCACCAGCAAAACATTTTTTGGCTAATGTTTAATGTTAATATTCACTTAAAAGGCATCTAAAAATATATATCCAAGTATTTTTTCTCATTATACTAACAGGTCTATTGTAGAAACTGTGGAAAAAGACAGAAAAGAATAAAGATACACATTTAGGCTGTTTCTAATTTTTCACTGCTTAAAAAACATGAAGGACATAAATTATTACTACCATTTCTGATTATTACCTTAGGAGACTTTCCTGTAAGTTAAATTAATTGATCAAAGAGAAACAAAAACAGTTTTAGCAAAAACAAACCAGAGGGAGTATTCAGAAGTCCCCTCTTAAGACTCCGTAACACAGTTACACTTGGTTTTCTGTTTTAAAACTATCTGTTGGTTCCACTGCTGCCTCTACTTTCAAGTCTTAGAATCTTCTTTGATGTGGGTCTGAGGTTTACATTTCAAGAAAACTACTTACCCATCTTTTTAGTTCTGCTAATGTTAATGGTGAGGATAATAAGGTAACTTCAGAGAAGGAAAAAATATGGAGATAACACTCCTCACACCACTCTCCACTCAATCAGCTGGCAGCCACAACTCCCAAGGCTCTAGAGGACACTGAAGTCACTCATTATGAGTGTAGGCATGCAAGGAAAGGATCCTTTCTCTGTACCTGAACCAGAAGTACGCTGAGAGAGTTCTACAGATACTATGATGAAAGACCAGAGAGAGGGAGAAGAGAAGGAACAAGAAGGAAAGAAGGAGGGAGAGAGAAAATGAATATGAGAATGGCTGGTGTTAAAAGGAGAATTCTAATTTTTTTTTTTTTAACAGGTTGTGATAATGCATCCTTCACGGGATCAGGTGGTCTCATAAAACCATATTTTACACTAAAAGCAGACACACGACACAATCAGGGAATCAAATCTTTAGGTCTAGTTCCTATATCACAATGCAAAACTCTAATTTTTTTCTCTACCAACTTTTTATTAGCTGTTAAACCCGGTGATTAGGATTTCTGCTTTCCTTTTAAAATGCAAAACTAAAGCTACTAGGCACATTGCCAATATTTAAAAATATGTAATCCTTTACTTTTGTTTCTCTTATCACTTATAATTAATCTATTGTAAAATGCAATATAAAGAAAATATCTGAAATGTACTATATTAACTTTTTGATTTTACCTTAAATCTAAATATCCTAATATTTGTTTTCAGAGTAAAATGTAAATAGCCTCTAACAATGCAAGATCTGAAAAATTCAATTTTAAGCTTTTCTGACATTCTTAATAACTGCTAACCCTTTTATTAATGATATTTCCATTTGAGCTATAATCAAATTTCCACAATTACACTTTAGAGGGCCCTCTCTAAAGTGGTCCAAATAGCTCCAAAAGCTGCCTGCTTTGTTTCCATTTGTTTTCATATACAATTTGAGATACAATTTCTTTTGATTACTAACATGATGAATGTTAACTAATACGTTTTCTACCATCACAACACAAAATGCCAAGCGGCCTCCACTGTTACCAGAGAAAGGAATGC